TGAACCTGTTCAGCCTTCAAAAGAGAAGGCTGAGGGGGGATCTTGTGGCCTGTTATAAACTGGTTAGGGGGGATCAGCAGGCGCTGGGGGAGTCCCTGTTCCCCCGAGTGCCGCAAGGAGTGACCAGGAACAACAGTCACAAGCTGGCGGAGGGAAGGTTTAAGTTGGACATCAGGAGGCGCTACTTCACGGTGAGGACGGCTAGGGTCTGGAACCAGCTTCCAAGTGAGGTGGTGCAGGCTCCCACCCTGGGGGTTTTTAAAACAAACTATGAGTGTCTTTTTATTCCTTGGTGGCAGGACAGTGTCTAGGCTTCTACCCTCCATTCACTTGCTTGATCACATGCAAATTCCACACACTATTTCTTTTTGGCTATGCAGGGAAAACAGTCCGGCCTAACAGTCAAGGTACTAACTTGGAACCTGGGAGGCTCAGATTCAAGTCCCTGTCCTGGCACTGACATCCTGTATGACCTTGAGCAAGTCAAACAAACAGAGAAACTTACAGAGGAACCATGCTTGTCAGGGGTGCCATCAGATAATCTGTAACATGCAACTCCTCTAATGCCATGGACCTCCCTGACATTGCCTTTTTATGATGGACAAGAAAAGAATGAATAGGCTAATGGCATGCTGAGCTGCATTGGTAGGCGTGTTGCCAGTAGGTCAAGGGAAGTGATTATTCCCCTCTTTTCAGCACTGGTGAGGCCACATCTGGAGTACAGTGTCCAGTTTTGGGCCCCCCGCTACAAAAAAGATGCAGAAAAATTGGAGAGAATACAACAGAGGGTGACAAGATGGAGAGGTGGCTGGAGGACATGACTTCTGAGGAAAGACTGAGGAAACTAGGCTTATTTAGTCTAGAGAAGAGGAGACTGAGAGGAGACTTAATAGCAGCCTTCACTACCTGAAGGGGGGCTCAAAAGAGGACGGAGCTGGACTGTTCTCAGTGGGGGCAGATAACAGAATTGAGACCATTGCTCCTTAGTTGGAGGAAGGGAAGTTTAGGTTGGGTATGAGGAAGAATTTTCTTACTAGCAAGGTAGTAAAACACTGGAACAGGTTACTCAGGGAAGGGGTGGATGCTCCACCCTTGGGGGTTTTCAAAACCCGGCTAAACGAAGCCTTGGCTGGGATGATCTAGTTGGGGATGGTCCTGCTTTCAGCAGGGAATTGGACTAGCTGATCTCCTGAGGTCCCTTCCAGTCCTAACTTTCTATGATTCTATAAATAATTATGGTGGCCGGCTCTCAGCCATATTGGAGTTCCCAGGAAGGGCAGATAAGATAAACTAAGCAAGCCCTATAGTTAGGGACCTACCAGAATCAAAATGGCAGATGGGCAATTTCACAGGCAATGGTACTGGCTGATGGCAGATGGGCAATGGTACTGGCTGCCATTTTTGTGGCCCTATTGAGGCAAGCCTCCCCACCCACTGATTGGCTAAGAGGCCCCAGCAGCCCCGCCTCTCACTGCTGGTTGGCAGAGGGCTGCCCTTCATGTGGCCCCGCCCCTTTCCATTGAATGGTAAAGGGGGTGGGGCTGCACAAAAGACAGCCCTCTGGGCCAATCAGTGGTAGGAGGAGGATGGGGCAGCTGCCATCTTGGCTGCTCCCCTTTGTGTCAGTGCCCCCCCTCCCAAAGGCTACCAGGCCAGGCTGCAGTGGCAGCTGGCCCCCCCCCCCAAGTGATTCTGCGCAGGATTGTGGAAACTGCTGTTTTTTGTGGTTTCTGCAAAAATTGCAAAATTTCAATTTGAGTAGGTCCCTACCAATGTCTGAACTCCTGGGACAATAAGACCCCTAACCCAGAGGAGTGAAATGTTATTACTGCTTGCCAAGACAGCTGTTGACACATGTTAAAAAAGTTGCATGCAGCGACTGTCTAGCACATCTCATAAATAAAAACCAATCTGTCTTCCAGCTTTAGCTTCCTCTGCTGTTGGGTTAATTTTTGCAGGGAAGTAGATGATTTGCCCTTTTCTAGCCTGCCTCTCTGCTTCATTTCTCTGTTCAGGTAGTTGTGCCCCATACTGCACTTTAGGAAAAAATAGTCCTGACTAAGTATTATACATGGAGACAAAATAAATTGAGACAACCCTATGCCCTTGTCTGACAACCAAATCAGAGATCCAGATTGTCTTGGTACAAATTACATTTTACAGAAAGGGCTTTCCTCCTCTGAAGGAGGCAAGGTGGCAGGGATGAAAGAGCTGTCCAATGCTGACAGTGGCAGATTAGTCCCTACAAAACCTTAAAGCCATAAAAGTACTATATAAGCCAAAGATAGGTAATTTTCAGGCTGGCTGTGCAACGGTACAGTCGTTTTTGTACTGTTAAGTACTACTTCCTGCAACCCACCAGTTCAAGTGCTTTTCATTAGGACATGGGACTGGGAAAGGCAAAGAGTATATGAATAAATTCACTGGCGAGAGTTTTCACACAGTATATTTCACACACCTGAGCCTTGGGGATCACAACAGCTGTGATCCCCACGGCATGGGCATTTCACGCCTAGGCATGGCACACCCCTGTGGCTGGGAGCCGTCAGCTGAGAGGGCTTCCAGCCGCAGGGGAGATCTTGCTACACATACAAATTAAAGCTCAATAGCATCTAACTATAAAGTCTATACACATTTTTGAGGTCTAATTTTATAGCTGGTTGAAACTTTTTGCTGTGTGACAGCTACTTCGCATATGTAGCTGATCTCAATATAATTAAGCAATCAACATGATTGCTATTTACAATATACATTACAATATACATTAATGTAGCTATATTACTCATTTATAATTGACTGAGTACAAACTTCTGGGTTATTTCTGGTGAAAACAGGGTATTGGGCCTTGGTTCAGAAACCAATCCCTCATTTATAACATTATTCCTATGGGAAAATCAGTTCCGAGTTATGACGTTTGGAATTAAGACGCGGTTGTCACGATTCAATTGTGTTGCAAATCCGAGGACTGCCTGTATGAAATAAAGGCACAGTAGCACTGGTGAACATGTTTCATGCTGTGCAGTAGCTTGATAATACTAATAATACTAGCTTGATAATATTAATAGATCTTGATGACAGTAAGATTAAAACATGGTTAACAATAAAATGCCACACTAGACTATTTCTTTAGATATTTATGATTACAGCTTGAGCTGGCATACAGAATGTTGTCTTTAACTCATGCTATACATTTAGTGCCTGACAAGCACTACTTCAGATAAGAAATGGACTTTAAAGAAAAACAAAACATAACACAAAGGACACTGCTGCATACCTGTGACTTGCATAATATTCTCAGAGCATGTTTCTTATTTATAAAGGCCTTTTTCCTACAACAATGCCCTCCTTTTATGAGTTTAAGGGATTTACAAACAAGACATACCCAGAAGAAAGGCAGCAGCTATTATTATTGCTACTACTACTATTATTACCACCATCATTATTATTATTATTATTAAGCAAACTGAGCATAAAGTTGTTAAATAATTTTCATAGTTTCATAGTTTCTAGGGTCGGAAGGGACCTGAGCAGATCATCTAGTCCGACCCCCTGCCATGGCAGGAAAGAGTACTGGGGTCAAACGACCCCAGTAAGGTGGTCATCCAACCTCCTCTTAAAAACCCCCAGGGTGGG